TCAGAGTAGTATAGTAATATTTTCCTAGGGTAAAAAATTACCAAAGTTAGGTTGCTGAATTGAAAAAATAATTAAATAGGAATATTGGCATGGTGAAACCACCACACTACAATTTGTACAGTTTTGTTGATCTCCCAATAATTATGCCGTTAGATTTGAGTGAAGGTGTGTGTTAACAGAAGCAACATGTGGAGGTGTTAGTAAGTGACAGAACTGGGTACAAACTCCAGTTCCAGTGCTCAGTAGCCAGGTGACTCAGGGAAATTTTCATAACCTCACTGAGCCTCAGAATTACACTGGTTAAAACAGCAGTAATATCTGCTATGTAGAATTGCTATGGAGTGCAACTGTCCCTGTGTGGTGCACACCACTCTATTCCTATAAATTCACAATTAAATCTTACAACAAAAATGTGAGGAAGGACCCTGGATGCTTCATTTTATGTTTGCCCCTCCCAAGCAGATACACACAGGATGAGAATCTGCACAGTGATAGTCACTGGATTTTGTATTGTGGGACACTGTCACTCCCTACTTGGTTACAACCTTGCTCTTCCCAAGCTCACCCTTCTCATTTTCTAGGATACCTTTGGAGTAACAGCTGCCAGAAAATGGTCTGGTATACAGTACAATATTAGCAAGCCTGTGAATTTCAAACACATCTTTTAGTATTCAAGGAAGATCATTTACAACAAAGAACTGGTCCCAGAGTAACCTTGAGCTAGCAACTACACTGATTCTATCACCCACATCAGTTTTATCCATTTAAAAACTCAGTATATTGGCTGTATACTGACAGTTCTGAATTTACCATAAGTTCACCTCTCGGCTTTTCAACTTTAGTATGGTGCAAAAGCATTCGGTAGAAACTGCCCTATGTATTTTGAGTTTTAAGCTTCCTTGCATGTGAGGCTCTCCTGTGATGTCCAGCAGCAAGTCAGCCACACAATCACAAAGATAGACAATCAGGCCGCGTTGCCAGTGTTTTTTGGATATCATATTTTATATTTTCACATCCCGTCATGTGTACCAAATTCCCGTGTGTGCACATGGGTCTTTATTATAAATCAGGTTTTGTGCTAGATGGTTTTGCTAATGCAAGTGCTCCTGCAAGCTACCTTATCATGTGTAAGACTGTATGGGCTATACCATGACGGGGTGTTAGGTGCATTCTCAACTTATGATATTTATTGAGACATAACCCCATTGTAAGTCAAAAGGCATCTGAAACAGGGACCCCGTACTGAACCAAATAAGAGCTTCACCTGAGAGACTGAGGGCAGGTGAATCCTTCAGGTGATAGCATTTGACTCTCTTTTGCATCTCCATTTGTATCTCATCCACTCCTTTTTATCTAGGCATTTTGTATGTCTTGAAGCAAGGTACGTAATTACCTGCGCCTCAACTTCTATAGCCATTAAACATCTGGACCTGTCATAGAGTCCCCAGGCTCTATGACACCTGGTTGTACCTCCTAGAATTTTTATGGGGACTTAATGAGACCATGGAAACACAGTTCTTAGAACAGAATGGTGCCTGGTATAAAGAAAACAGTCAGCAACTCTCAGCTATGACAGAGGTCCTTGTCCCCTGAGAAAAAACGTTCCCATTTGTCTGTGCGTCAGCGTTGGCCACTGTGATTACTACATGAAATAACTAAATATGCTATCGGCTATGAAGAAGAAGAAAGAAAACAGGATTTGGGGAGGGAAGCAGAGTGACGAAAATGGAGAAGACATGGAAATTTGAAGAAACAAAACAAGTTCCTTAATTCTTGACAGGCTCAGGAATGCATTCTCAATGCGTGACCTTTGGCAGTCTTCTTAGCTTTCTTTAATCTCTAAACTGAGGTTTTGTTTTAAAAGAAACACCTCCTGCACAGCATTCTTGGAAAGATTAAGATAATCCAAGTAGATACATTTGACTTGCAATACAGACCAGCTACCTTCTTTGTAGTAGACATGAGTTTATTTTCCGAAACATTAGTTAAAAGTCAGAGAACAAAAACAACATTTAGGACATATTACTTACAGGGTTTGCAGGCTACCCACACTCCCCAATATTAAAAGATTTGCTCCAAAATTGAGCCAGATCACCAAAGAAATACTTACCTAAGACAAATTCTATTGTTCTTCCTACAGAAAAGCCATTGTGGAATTATAATACAGCATAACGCCAGCAGACACACTGATGGTCCTCAGCATAATAGGCTCTGTAACCTTACCATTTGCTCTACAAGGAGGCTCCTATGAACATTTTTCATTACCTCCACAATAAACTTCTTATGAGATCCTCCAGAAGAAATCCCAACTTGGATTTAGAACTAAAAATGGTGGTACTTATCCTGAATACTGGAAGCGAAGACAAATATAGATCTATTGTTTAGAGTCAGTGAAACAAGCAAGGAATGAATTCCTGCATTCACTTAACATATATATTGAGTACCTACTATGTGCCAGACTCTAGGATCCAGAAAAACAATGACAAAGAACACAGAAAATGTCTCTGGCCAGACCTAGAAACTAGGAGGAGAAGGAAGAGCTAATTAAACAAACAATTATAACACAGATGCAAGTAATATGATGAAATAGAATAAGCCACAAAAGAGGCTCGGGGTAACTGAATAATATCTATTGTCTCCTTGGGTGGCAAGAGAGGCTCGAATAAAGCTAAGCCTGATAGTAGGGCCTGAGAAGGAAAATTCACACTTATATGGAAATCAGGAGAAAAAAAGGCAGGTCAAGAAACAGGCGGATAGAGATGCTGAGAACCTAGGATTGTCTATATCATGACCAGAACTGGTCTGTTTATTTACTTTGCATCACAATAACAATCTACACACATAGAATTAAATTGCAAAGAGTGTTCACACCTACACGTGAATCACTCCATAGGCTCTAGAGGAAACTGGCTTGACTTTATAACCACATAACTAAATGGGAGAAGATATCAAAGAGAACGGAAGGTCTGGCACTGCTCAAGAAATAATCTTAGAGATTTAATTCATCACATTGAGTTCTATCAACTATGATCCTTTTGATTTCTTTCCATTACCACAGAGGTCTGATGGAGAGAGCAACACTCGGGCCATATGGAGATTATAATTAAATCTTTACTCTCAACAATGTTGGAAACTCAGAGCACAGAATTAAATATCTAAGAGGAATCCTGGCAACAGGATTATTTAAACAGTCAGGAGACTGGGAGTTTAGTCATAGTTTTGTTTTTTTTTAATAAAATGATTTTGAGGATTGACAGCTACGTGAGTAACTCAATGGGCTTTGCCCTTCATGGGCTTACTGCAGCAAAATAACAGCTACTACTTACTGAGGTTTTACTTTGTGCCAAGAACTAAGTGTTTTCCTGTATGACCTGCCAACTCCCTCAGGAGGTGGACAGTACTGTCATTTTATAGCTAAGGAAACTGAGGCAGACAGAGACACTGCAACATTTCCAGGTCGTTTGGGAGTCCGGATCCAGAGCCCACCCTCTCAACCGCTACTTGGAGCATTCTCTCAACTTTCATCCAAGGGCATCCTAAGAAAGCTCAAAGGATGTACAGAATACCCCTCCTCAAACTATTTCCAAGAGTTCACCATCTCTTCCCTGGAGCCCTTATGACGTGAAAATTAATGGCAAAATAACTCAAGAGTTGAGGGTCTGATACTTGCTGGGCCATTTACTTTGCCTGAATAAGCCTCAATTTTCTCATCTACCAAACTGAAATACTAATAGTACCCACCCCAAAGCATCGCTGTGAGAACTACAGGAGCCCATGCATAGATGAACTATAGGGGTGGATTGGTACATTGCTTAGCAAACAGTGAGCACTCAGCAACGTTAATTAAATGTTCAGGAGGCTTTCTTGCACTGGCCCAATATGTGAACCTGAATGATCACAACATACCTGTGAATCTGGAGCACTTAGACATGAACCAGAATAAGGAAGGAATACCAATAAGTCAATCGCTAATATTTCAAAGAGGAGCCAATCCAAAACTAAATTATAATCTCAAAGCCAATGGAAATGTGCTTCCGTCCTCCCACATTCCAAGACCTTTAATCGATTCCACTCCAGGGAACCTCACTGAAATGTTGAGTTTTATGAGGATGAGGAAAGAGGAAAACTTCTGTGAGCGTAAAACCGCGTTGAGGTCCTTTACATCCTCTTGGGGCAACCTGAATTCCTAGTTGTAACTTCTGGGATCATTCTGCAGTCAAACACATTCACTGTACTTTGGATTCCAGCCCTTGGCATAGCCTCAGCATTCAGAGAATGTTTTTGTGTGGCATGGGCACACACTACCACCTTGCCCGCAGTAACTGGCTACATACCTCTTAGAACCTTCCAAAACGTTTGTCTCCTAACAAGAGAGGACCTTGGAAATCTGACACAGTAAGCCACAGTCATGAAGCTTGAAGAAGTCACATGGCAAGTTAGTATACATACTGAACACATCAACTACTTTGCCCGTGTTCTTTATTTGCTTAAGTTTTTAGGGGTTAGATTCATTGTAGAAGGGAAAAAAAAAGAAAGGTAACATGGTCTGGTTATGGGCCTCTTACAAAGATTCTGTGTGCTGAAGAAAGATAACTTATTTCCCTCTTAATCTTAAAAATTTCCAAAGAAGGAAATTCTGCTGCCATAGTAACCTATAATAATATGCCTGCCTGTCAGCAGGTTCTGTCTCCTCCCTGGCTTCCTTTCCTCATCATGCAAATTGCCATTGGCTTTAATTAGATTTAATAAGCCGCTGGGAAGTGCAGCGAGGGAAATGGCCAGCAAAGATTACACAGTGTGGGCTTACTCTTGCATGGAACTTTCACATCCTCCCAGGCTGGGAAAATAAAGACTGCCAAGCATATGGAAAGACATGCTGCTGCTGTCCAAATGTGAAACGTGGGTGGAGAGAAATCATTTAGAAAAAGAGAGTGAGGGGAAAGAGAAAATGAACCCGAATCCCCAACAGCTGCAAGTAGGGGAGCGCGTGAATCTGTTACCTTGGATGAACTCTGATTTCCTGCTCACAGATGGCAGGGTCCTGTTGAGCCCCAGGATCCTGTCCAGGTGGAAGGCAAACACCTCACTCATGTCCAAAGGCTGCTTGAGCAGCGCACAGGGACTAGGGCCACAGCGGGGCACAGAGCCAGCGCTGCTCCCCTCCATCACCAGCAGGCGGGCACCACTATTAGAGGACACTGGCTGGAGCCCGGCCACCGCTTGGTCTGCCAGCAGGCGCATCTTGCGGATGTCATCTTTGCTCAGCCACGAGGGGGCGCTCTCGCTGTAGATCCTGATGTTGCTCTCTCTGGCCCTGGGCAGCTGCAAGGGGGAACTGGCCACTCGAACTCCAGGACCTCGCACCAACCTCCAGGGTCGCTCTCCAGCCTTGACTAGGGGTCCTCCCTGCACGTACCCAGGCACTTCAGCGTCGGCTGCTTTTGCGGCTTCCTGAGGCTGAAGGGATGGTCCAGCCACTGCCTCCTGCCCAGGGCCCACAGCTGCCACCCCATGCTTCCTCCTGCGCTTGGGTTTCACCGTGCCACGGATATTGGCAGGCTTGCTGCGCTTGGAGCGTAGGGTAATGTACACCACGTTGGGTTGCAGGGTGGTCCCATTGCCCTGGGTCTCGGGCGGGGCCAGAGTCCCATCCAGAGGGATCTCTGGGAAGGGGGCCTCGGCGGTGTCCCGGCCGCGGGATGGCCCCTTGTCAACTGCCTGCGGGTGCTGGACAGAGGCTCTCCCCACCTGGCTCACCAGGAAGCCCAGGTAGATCGCACAGGCCGTGCCCAGCAACAGGTTCCGCCGGGTCCTGGGACGCCGGCTGCTCCAGAGCTTCCGCGCCCGCGGGCCGCACAGGGCGCAGAAGAACCAGTTTATAAGTCGCCCAGGCTTGTCCCGACAGGTCATTTCTCTGAGGCGTGCACATGCCGAACAGAGCTTAAAGTCTGCACTCGGCCCCCGCTGACATGATGCATGGTTTCCTGAATTCTCTGTCCTGTCCGTTTCGGAGTCCAAGTGGTCTCCAGAGGGTAGCAGTAGAAGAGAAGAGTTGGTGACAAGCTGGGAATGTTTTTGACAGAGCCACAACAAACCTTTTAAACTATCAGCCTTCCCAAGGAAAAATGAGGGTTGATTCTGGGGGTGAATGGAAACAAAGTTCACTGAGTCACCATCTCAGACCATTTCAGTTCCTCTAGAAGAGGAATGAAAAAAGTAACCCTTTCCTTCCATAAATAGCACCACTGAATTTGATACAAAGTTTAAAAAATGAAAGCAAGAGAAATCTGTAGGCTTAATATTCAGTTTAAAGTATTGAAAAGAAGCCACAAAATCCAAGAAGTTTTTATGACTTATAGCTAGAGTCATTTAATTTGATTCTGAAGCAAAGCATTAAAATTTGATCAATCTGGACTTTTCCATTTTGCAATTCAGAAATAAGACAAATAATAGATGGTTTTTAAAATCTTGTAGCTATCTCACGTTTTACATTAACTAATTGGGCAGAAGCACCAAGTATTAACATTCAAATTCAGAAACATAATTTCTTAATCTAATATTGCAGAGTTGTCTTTATAATATGTCCCATTGTCTTACATTAACTTAGTTTAGTATAAAGGCATAAATGTCTATATAGCTTGAAAGCAGCTACATTTATTCTCTCTTTCACTGTCTCTGTCACTCTCTCGCTCTCTCTCGCTCTCTCTCTCTCTCTCTCTCACACACACACACACACACACACACACACACCACAAATTCAGCTGCATTTTATTCCTTTTTCTTTCCACCAAAGTCAGGTGAAAGAGAATAAAAGAATCTCCAGTTTCATTCTTTCACATTATTAAATAGAAGAAGAAAGTTGTGAGCAACCTTACTTACACAGCTAGCCGGGAGCTTGGCTCCAGCAAGAATGCAATCCCTGCCTCTAATGCAAAGAACTTTTAAAGGCTGAGGCGTTTAAGTACAACATATTTCATGGTCAAGAGTGTTCCACATTTCAAACATTTCAGCTCAGCTTTAAAAAGCTCCCTTCTACTGATGGTGAAGTAAAATGGTTATTTGTAAACTAGACACTTCACAGTTTTTCAGACATGTGAGGGTTTTTTTAATGATGATTTAAAAAAATAATCCTTAATTTTAAATTCTGAAAAAGCAAATGCCGTACAGAATCAGTTTCCATTTAAACAACTTCCCACTTATTTTTAACCCCTGGGAGCCCTCTAGTGTCCTGTTTGCAAACTCTGAAATGTCAGTCCTGTGAAGTTAAAAGGGATCTAGTGTTTACTTAGCTTGGTGGCTTGGTGCTCCAGAATAAATACCTTACGAAATAAAGAAGGCCGTCACCCATCTGCCCATTCCGTGTTAGCTGGACGACAGAGCGTTGGTCCCAGGATGTACTACTCACCTTGCTATCTTGGCTGTTCACAGAGAACATTCGTCCTCCACCATTTCTAGGAAGAGAAGGCCTAGAAGTTCAGCGAAAACTAAGAAAGGGTTAGTTCACATGAGGAAGAAAATAGAACAGTGAGATAAGGATGCACAGAGCTAGGGAAAGACATTTCCAGTGTGCAGTTGCACAGGGCACCAGTGCACAAAAAGCAGTTGTGGGTCTTCTCTGATTGGAGGTTTTTAAAAACCAGGTTAGCGATTGGCCTGGGTTGTTTGCCTGTCCTAGCACAAAGGCAGGAGCTGATGACCTTGGGTCTCACTAGGCTTACTCTATATGGAATCAGGAGGCCAGAAGGGCACAAAGGGAGACGGGGTGACCCCCATTAGAAAAGAAGGTTGTGATACTGGGGGGCAGGGGGATTAGAATACAGTGTAAAATCCTTAAATCCTACATTTAATGTTGCAAAACCAGAGCAAGGAATTGGAATATACATAAAAGGAGAAAATAAACTTCCAAATGGTAAAATGCCAAAAATTACAATAGGAGTGTTATTCCAGCACTCTTAAACTCAGACCTTCCTTCTCTTTAAAAGTTCTGCCACACAGTGGAAAGAGAAGGAGAACTCCAGTATTGACAGGAGTACCTGTAGATTTTAGCTGAACTTTCTGAGAATTTGAGTACCACAATCACAAAGCCATTTTCTTTGTTCTCCAACATTGTGAAAGCACACACTTCTACAAGCACAGAATTATTTTCCAGAGAGTAAATATGAATTTCTTGAAAGGAAACCATAGAAGAGCTCCTTTGTTCTAGCTATTTTATGTTTTTCACAAATTCAAAGAATAACTGTCTTTTTAAAAATTAAAACTAAGGACTGGGGGCATGGCTAGTGATAGAACACTTGCCTAGCATGCAGGAGGCCCTAGGTTCCATGCCCAGTAACCCCTCCCACAAAATTTAAAGTTTTTGGCAGAAGCCAGATTATAATAAGCAGAAGCATCCTCTAGACTTTTTTTTTTTTTCTTTTTGGTGTTTTGAAACTACATAGCTCAGACTGGCCTGGAACTCATGATCCTCCTGCTTCAACCTCTTGTATGCTACCATTACAAGAATGTCCCACCACACTGGGCTCCTCTTCCAGCACCTTTTAAAAAAATATTTGTGGTGGAGAAATGCTTAGGAAGCAGTGAAGAGTTATGCAAATTGGTAACTTTGGTTACCAAAATGACCCCTTAAACCGGGTGCCCCTTAAACAGGGTCGTCCACGCCTGTAATCCTAGCTACTTGGAAGGCTGAGATTCTTCAAAATCAGCCAGGGCAAAAGTTAGTGAGACCTCATTGCAACCAGTAAGCTGACCGTTGGTGTGCACCTGTCATTCCAAGCTACCAGGGAGGCTAGGATTAGGAGGATTGCAGCTCCAGGCCAGCCAAGGCAAAAAAAGTTGGCAAGACTCCATCTCAATGGAAAAAAGCTCGGCGTGGTGGCACATACCTGTCATCCCAGTGATGGCAGGAAGCTTAAAAAAAATAGGAGGATCACAGACCAGACCAGCCTGGGCAAAAAGTAAGAATCTATATCCAACATAACCGAGCAAAAATGGCTGGAAGTGTGGCTCAAGCCTCGCAAGCACAAAGCGTTGAGTTCAAACCTCAGTACCATAAAAAAAAAAATGTCTCCTTATTAGAGTAAGACCGATAGATTGTCTCTTCTTGTAAGCACAATAGGGATTAGTGCACAACACTAAAGCATATGATGATTAGAGAATGAAGAATGGGCTGCGGAAGAACAAAGCCTGGCTGGGGGTGGTCTTCGCTTGCTAGATGGGGTTCCTTATGGTAAGTAATTGTACCTGCCCAACCTCAGCTTCCCCATCTCTAATAGCAGTGTTACTAGCTCTCATCACGTAGGTTTTCTGTGATAACTAAAGGCAATTGTGCTGATGGAAGGATCATTTGGAACCATTGTCAATTGGCTTGTCTTTATCTCCCCCAATGCACACACCTCACTGCACTTCTCAACCCACTGCATCAAGGCAAAGCTGTCATGGCTGTATTGGGAACAAGCATGTGGAATGATTGGTGTAGCCAACACAATGGTAAAACCCATACAGTGGGTAAATGGGGCTCACAGGATGCCTTCTCACTGCTCTGGGGGAATTCACTGTTTTCAACATCCTTGGATGAAAATTCAGGCTGGCACCATGACTCAATGTTAGTCCTAGATGTGTACACACAGGTATATAAACTAATTAGCATATTTAACTCTGTAAAATAGTCAAAACTTTTGAATTTTTTTTCTGGTACTATTGGGGTTTTGTCCTAGGGCTCCATGCTTGCTAGGCAAGCCCTCTATCTCTTCTTTCATACCTACAGTCATTTTTCTTTTAGTATGTTTTTTCTGAAAAGTAGCATGCTTTTTCCCTGGCTGGCCTTGCTCTAATTTTCACCTCCTGAGTAGCTGGAATTACAGGCATACTCCCACCTTTGAATTTCTTTTAAAGTTAAATCATTTCTACTCTCCTGGTGAGCACTCTCCCAAAAAGCACAGCCAGGAGCTAGGGTGCAGCTCAGTGGTAAAGCACTTGCCTGCCATGCTCGAGGCCCTGAAACAAAAAGAAAACAAGTCAAAACCTACTGAAAAGGGGAAGAGGAGCTCCACGTGGGAATCTTTTGTTCTTATCTAGAGGCTCTATTTCTCACCCACTCACCCACGTTGAGTCTGGCTGTAATTACACCAAGGTGAAAGGGTACTGGGTAAGACTAGTGGTAATAGCAGAAAAGTTCTTTCTACTCCTTTGACACTGTGTTAATTGGCTTAGAAACGCCCTGGGCATGACGGATGTGTAAACTATATGTATGTATGTACTATGTGTAAAACTATAACTGATGGGTATGTTATAGTCACTTCAAAGGCACCACTATCAAAGCAGCTGGTGTCTCCTCATCCATTGGAATCAGGCAGCCTACTGTTTTGTTAAGCTTCCCTCATCCTTCCAGCTGGTTCTCCAGGGCAGCTTTTAAGATAACCAACAAGCTTCCTTCTCACTTGGGCTTCACAAGGAGTCCAGTGGGCACAGCCACCATCTTTGCCTCAGCATCGTCAGGCTTCCCAATATACCAATCCACTTCCCTTGATATGGTAGATTCACGCCTCTTTACAAAAACATGGAACATTTGCCACTTATCACTCACTATCTGTCTTGAAACCAACGATAGTGCTTCTGCTATCAGGTAGCATGAAACTCAAGAGAAGCTTAATTCAGTTTTAGCAATAACAAAGCTTAATTCCTTCACTGGTGAGTGAATGAAGAGTCCGAAAACTTGTTAGCACAATGTAACTTACAATATAGTCTATAAGCATACATATAGCACTCCAAATATTAACAATTGTTATTAAAATTATTAGATCAGAGAGGCTAATAAACTTCACACCTAAAGCATTTTCTCTCCATCACAAAGAAAACCTACAAGGGAAATAAGGTCAAAAAGTAGACAGTGAGACAAATGTGCATCGCATTAGCACTGTCTAGGGACCTTCTTATACACTGCAGCAGGAGTAGTGATGGAAGCTCAGCTCTATTTCCTCATTTATATAGCACCGATTAAAGTGTGTTTATTTGGGGCTGGGCGTATGGCTCAAGTGGTAGAACACCTATCTAGCAAGCCCAAGGCCCTGAGTTTAAACCCTAGTTCCAACAAAAAATAATTAATAAAAAATGCATCATTATACATTTCATTCAAATTTTTATACTCTGGTTTCTCTTCAGATTGTATAAATCTTTCATCTTTTACCAAAGTATGTTCATTTGGAGACAATTCACTAGCCTTACATTTTCGATATGTGTACATTTCCATATATATCTTACCATTCAATAAAACTGAAAGAGGTGATAAGTGATGAGATATTCATTTTATGTATTGTTTATACCTTGCACATTTTATGCATCTATGTAAAGACAGAGTAGGAAAGGAGTTCTATTGCTTTAGTCATTAAGAGATGCAAGTTAAAGAAAGGTATGTGGATCCCAAGGCCCATCCACTTTCCCAAAAGTTCTAATTTAGTTGATCTGAGTGGAGCCCAGGAATTCGTACTTTTAAAAGCCTCTGATGTGCAGGGTTATACGTCACTGTTCTGGGAATTAAAAGGCTAATTCCAGAAGCAAATTAACACCTTTTTACAATTGAATGGTAAATCTTGGTTTTCACTGGCAATGAAGTCTAAACTCTTCAAGACTTCTAGTTCTTAGTTCCAAGTGTTTCTGTTCTGCCTTCAGCCTGGAACAACTCCAGGGCTTCAAATTTCCTATCCACCCTCATTTCCCCCACTCACATCAAGTGTGTCACTTGCTACCTCTGTGGGCTCAAGTTTTTCCACTACTGGAAAGCCATTGGGAAAGTGAAGAAGAAGATATAAGGACTTCAACTAGCTGGGAAGCCAAGTATTAAACTTTCCCTTGCTATAGTTGACCCTTGCTGGTTGCAGATTGCCAATTTACAGATGGACACCCTGTTGCTGGTTCTGTGCTGACCAGACCCTTCCACTGGCTCCCTAACCCTGATTTACCACCCTCCTAATCTCTAGGACCCATGTCCCTTCTAGAACTATAGCACAATGACTATATAATGTACAAACTCTGTACTGCTTGCCACATGGGATTTGCTCACACAATTACTATTCATTCTGTCACCAGGCCAGGATAGCACCAAACTGCCCTGTCCTGCCACTGAAAACCTCTTACCCTAATACTTAAAATTTTGTCATAAAGGTATTTCATTGGTATTAAGGAGCTCATAATTCTTTAAATAGTGGTTCATATTTTGTCTGTCTTTTAATCTGCATGTAATAAGGTTACATATATTACATTGTTTTACAGAAACATGGGTACATTCATATGACATGTGATCCTCACCCCAAAAGATGCCTTTCCTATTGATCTATACAATTAATCTAAGTGGAGAAACACCTATTTCCTTAGTGGCAGCTTTGCAAATCTATGAAATAACACTGAATGCCATAGCTTGATCTCTCACATGTGACTAAGAGAGCACCAAGAAGGCATGATTCGGGGGATGCAATGCCTGCCATTTCATTGTATTGGGTGTTCTCTGTCTACTACTAATCCTGGTTAAGAACACAGTGAGGCTCACTGCCCTCTCCCAATATGAAGTCTACAATAACCCATTCAGCCTCATTTCCTTGGAAACGTTTATTCCATTTCTTTAAAGTTGTTTTTGAGTCAAGATGTTTCTGCCACATGAGCAGAAACTGAGCAATATTTGCATGAGCAGACCCTAATATAACAGACTCAGGAAATGCATAGCAGCTGATTAGACTTGTATTTGAAATAACAAACTTTTTGCTACTTTTTGTTATTTCACCCTTAATAATTAGGTGATTTATGAATATTAGAAAGATCAGCGTTTGTTTTAACATTCTAAGACCTTCTGGGGGCATGGCTGAAGTGGTGAAGCACCTGCCTTGCAAGTGAAAAGTCCTGAGTTCAAACCCTAGTACTACCACTAACAACAAAAAAGATTAACATGTCTTACTACACTATAGTTCTAAGTCCTAATGCCTTAGCTATTGGAGAATTTTTTTTAAAAGATTAGGTAAATTGGAGGTTACCCTGAGTTTTTACTAAAAGCCTTCAGCAGATATAGATAACTAAACTTCTGTATTTCAGAAGTGGGCACTGAGCCTTAACTATGCTGCCCCAACCCCCACTTACACAGA